CCAATTTACTGTTTTATATTATATGATTAATCAAATACCTTTTCATCACATTAAATGTTTCTGATCAATTTTTTTTTTTTTTTATCAAAAAACTTATTATTGGCTGCACACATCCAAGTATGTGTCTGGTGATAATTATGTTATCACAATGGCAAGGTTAGTCCTGGGGTAAATTCGAGACTTCTGATTGGTTCTTACTTGGTCAGGATTTTGCCAAACGGACCATTGTTGCACCATACAGACAATCATAAAACATGTATTTTTTTACTTGGAAGCCAGGAAATTCAAAATAAACAAATTTAGTCCAGGTGACACTGGTGCAATGACTGTTACCTTGCTTTCTTGAGCCATACTTGGGAACATTGGCACTAAATATGTCATTTGTACACTGACACAACCTTGAGCCAATATTCTCTAGAAAAGCTCTCGGCTCCACCAGTTAGTCAGAAGTTAGTACTGGCTTTTGCAAAAATAATTTACTGTTTACAGTTGTATCTTAGGCTATTTTGAATTCCAGAACCATTGATTTCCTTGTTTTTGTACACGAGGTCAGCCAGCAAGGATTATATGATATTTGAAAAACAACCAGCCTTGATTAGCAACAGAATTAACGTAAGCATTAAAAAAAAATCAATTTTGTGCACAAAACATCAAACTATGAGGGGGTTAGAAAAACAATTTGTTGTTCACGTGTACAGGTAAACCACAAACACCTGTGTACATGCAGTTTTTAAATCCATTTCAAAATAAACTAGATGCCTATAAGGGTTTACTCAGGCTATGTTTGTGTGACACAGAAAGAATATCCTTGCATGAGGACCTTGGAAATACAAGCAATCATTTCACCCTGTAACTCCCATGAGTGACCAAGATAGAATTTCTCCTTACAATATCAATACAATATCAATCAGACAGGTGATGAGAATAAAAAAAATATAAGTTTAAGGATTTTCTAGTTGATCCAGTATCAAATTCTCAGAAATAGCATGATAAATATTGTATGGCAGACAGTAAGGAGAATTGTTAATGAGATCTTGGCTAGGTGTTAAAGGGTTAAACACCTAAAAAGAATTCCAAGAGGCTCCATTTGGTGAGAGCTTTAAGTGTCATGCATATCTCCCAAAATTCAAGTTTGAGAAAGTGTACGTGGCCTTTGTTATCAGATGGAAAAGAAATGTTTGAAACATATTATCTATCTGCAGAACTATATACCAAAATTGGCAAATTCACCTTAAGTTCATAAACGTGAATATCCATTGCTTTTTTTCACATTTTTTACCTGACATGGCATAACTTTTACCCTCTTCCAATGAACATTAGGATTTACTGGTATACTAATTGAAAGGAGATGGAAATCAAGGATTCATTAGGTGAACTTAAGTCAAATATCCAGTATACTAAGTTTGTTTCGAGTTCTCCCACTAATCCTTGTAAAACTAAATTCCCCCCAGTATTGCACATGCTAAATGTTTTCTAGGAATCCTAATCATTACAAAAACCCTGGATCGGGGATACCCAAAGCTGAAAATAAAATAGAGTTGAAATAGTCAATCAACAAATGTCAATCGCTCAAGCTTTATTGAAATGTTAAAAAAGATCATTGTAACAGCATATAAACATTAACCGAGTTCAAATGCTTGATGGTACACTTCACTCAAATTTGTGCAGGATTTTCTTATTTATATGAATTTCAAATGAGATGTTGATAACAAGTTCAATCATTAACTATACATATTATTACAGCATAAACATTACAAACTAAAATGTTTGGTGGTATAGTTTACTCATATTTGTGCAGGGTTTTTTTATCAATATAAATTTCAATTGACATATTTACCCAGTCATGAATTATACATATCATGACAGCATGAACATTAACCAAGTGTTAAATGCTTGAAGGTATAGGTTAATCATATTTGTGCAGGATCACAACACAACAGCATAAACATAAACAGAGCTTTAAACCTTGAAGGTAATGTATAGGTATGATGATATATCATACCTCATTAATTTAGTGTGGGTCTACCGTGAATAGCATGTACGGTTTATAGGTACTTTGAGCATTCCAACAAGAAGCAGAGAGCAAAGAGACCTATAAAGAGCAAACCAAGTTGTCAGCCACCTCGTTTTCACAGTTGCCTAGCTTTCATGCTTGTTGAGGAATACCGCAGACCGTCAAGCAATGCAGGTTTTCACACTCTCAACATTGGTGAGATAGATAGATAGATATTAGATAGAAAACCAAAACTTAGTCACCCAGCCTACCTGTGTAGCCCAAGTAATCATGCATTAGGGTATGCATTTCAGTGTTTTTCCTGCAATAAGCATACTCGTTGAGCCAACCCCCATCTGAACAATGGGTGTACAGTGCCCCTCTCCACCCAGGAGTTTAAATAGGAAGCAGAAATTAGTTAGGGAAGCCTGATGAAATGCCAGGGGGGAAGGGTGTGGGGTAACCATGGGATGGACTGGTATCCCGTCAAGGGGGGAATAGTGGTAATACTCCTAGTGGCTTCATTTGAGGAAACCAGGATTATAGGCTCAGGGCCTGGACTGAGGCCACTGCTCCAATGCAGACTTTACCTAACTACCTACAGCCTCTTAGTTTAAATAATTTAAATTGCTGCCGTTACAAATTATATGAACTTGCAGCACAAAGATGATGATTTTTTCCCGATTTATCTCAGTCAACTGGGAATATATTTTATAAATCTTGAAATTTATTGTAATAAGAAGTGAAGTACTGTTCACTGACTTAAACATTAATGCTTGTTCTCTTCAGTATATGCATCTTTTGTTCTTTTGCTGCTTAATTGTTTGTATGCCACTAATGTTAACTGACTTGTGATTTTGTGTGTATCCCTTCATTCTCAGAAGGGAAAACACATTTATTTTGCTACTTGGTAATATGTTGAGCTAATGTTTAACACCATTTTGCAACCATCTTTTCTTCAGGCCAGGATAACTTAAAACAGCAACTCTTTGGAAGAAGCATTTTCTTACAGTTTCTATGGCTACAGCAAGAAGTCCAGTTAAAATGCCATGTGAAAATAAAAACTTACCTGCAAAGGAAAATGCACCAGAGTTTGATGAGGACACTTTACGAGGTGAGCTATGTTCAACTTCAGCTTCAGTTATGGCTTGAACTCTTTCTATTCCACCAGTTTCAATAAAGTAAGCAGATGTGGAGAACAGTATATGTACTGTATGTCACTTTAAGGATATTTGACCAGTCATGACTCTCCGCTATGATTACAATATGCTGTTCATTGAGAGGATCTATGACACAGAAACCTTTGTTATTTCCTTCTCTAAAAGTTCAAACCAAGTACACAAAGTTATCATCAGTAAAAACTTTATTTGATCATCATTTAAAATCCAATTTGTAAATACCATCATCATCATCTTTCCATTATAATGCAGCAGTGAATTTGAAAGCTTCAACATCGATCCCTCCCTTCTCCTCCAGCAACAGGCTTAATTTTTCTTCTTATTATCATCTAAGCCAAAAGGGGGCCACTTTAAAGGGTATTTGGCCCGTCATGACTCTCTTCTATGATTATAATATGCTGTCCTTTGTGGGGATCTTTGACACAGAAATCTTTGACATTTGCTTTTCTAAAAGTTCAAAGCAAGTACACAAAATTATAATAAGTAAAGACTTTATTTGATTATCATATAACATCCATTTTGTAAGTGCCATCATCATCATCATCATCTTCCCCCTTATAATGCAGCAGTGAATTTGAAAGCTTCAACATCCCCTCCCTTCTCCTCTAACAACAGGCTTTTGATCATCATCCACGCCAAAGGGGGAGGGTGGGGAGATTGAACATTCCCTGACTGACCTTGGGGAATTTGAACCAGAAGTGTTGAGACTTTCCATTAGAATGCACATACTATATATCATTGAATGTGGAGGTGTTTAAGGTAGTTAGTGCACTTTCACTAACAAATGGCTCTGAAAAGAAAAAAGTGCACAGGGTCTAGGTTTTAAAGCTTTGTCAATGTGTTGAAAGTCACAGTTGCTAATTATTTTACTTTTTTCATAAAAATTGGTAGGGGCATTTGAACACATATTTTGCCCAAGGGGATAGGAATTTTTGGAAACCGATCTCCAAAAGTTTAAATGCCTAGGCTTTTGCTTCAAATTGATTGATGCTTAGTTCTCATCATTAATTATTACCACTGTTGTCACCCAAATTATTAGCATCATCATAAATATTTATCTCATCTTCTTAATATCATTCTTATCATTTATATCATAATTATTTGTCTGTAGGGAATACTGCTTCTGGTTTTTATGATTGCAACATTTGGATCTTATTGACTCATTAACTTAATCTAAATGTAATTAAAGCAGTAGACTCTTTTACTTTATACCACTCTTTCTGATTATCAGGGAGTGGATCACAGAAACAGAATGAAACTCTAGGTTTCCCATATGGGTCATCAAACCTTCAAGATAAAAGAGGTTTGGGTCAATTCCTCAAAGAAACATAACATTTCAACTCCAGATTTCCCACTTCCAATGTTATTATCAAGGTTATCTTGAGGTTCTTATTGTTATTTTCTTGATTCCACTAAGGTTGTTTTTAAGTAGAGATTACACTTTCTTTCTTCTAAATGATAACCACAACAGCAACTGAGTCTGATTGGTTGTCTCTCAACCAAAAAAAGTCTTTCATGAATTAACTGAGTGGGGTTTGTCCTGTGAGGGGACAAATAACAGACGTCATCAAAGGTTTTCAGGGGATGAGTCAAGTAAGGCAAGTGCAAAAGTGGCAGCTGGCACGAAAGGAAAAATCTGCAGATTTTAAATCTCCAGATCTTGGCAGCTCTGCTTATGCACTAATTAACTACAACAGACTTTGACATATTAAGTTATTTTTATTTTTTCTTTTGCAGCCACAGCTGTTGTTTATAGGAATGAGGGTAATGAGGCCTTCAAGAAAGGAGATTTCATCAGTGCTATTCATTTTTACAGCAAAGGAATTAAAATGAACTGCAATGAGAAAGAACTGAAGGCCAAACTGCACAACAACAGGGCTATTGCACATTTTAAACTTGGTAAGATGATGAGAGCTTCAATATGCATTCTTTTTTTCTCTTTTGATCGAAGCTAAGGGTTGTCGGTAATAGTTTTCTGAAAAAGTGATAATTACTTGTATGTATGTATGTATGCCCAAAGAGGAATTATCTGGAAAAATATATGTGCCTTATCTTGGCTTCTCAAACATACAAACAAGCAGCCTATTGCCCCAGATATCAAAAAGCATCACAAGTTCTTCTAAAATTAATATAATGGTGGTTGTATGATTTGCCATATGTACAGCTAATCAGAGATATTTATTTTAAAAACAGGAAATCACGAGAATTCACTAAGGGATGCAGAAGCAGCCATTGAGTTAAATCCAACTTTCCTCAAGGCAATTGTGAGAGGTTAGATACATGTATGTTAGCTGTGCTATAATAATATAAAAAAGAACTCAACACTCCAAGGTTAAATGAAGTTAAATCTTGTCTCAATTGACTTTAATCAAGAGGTCAAGACCACCCTGATGTACATTTGAATCCAGCTCTTGGCTGCTGTGCCATGACTTTCTATTATGATGAGAATATTATTTTTAGTTGAATGAAGAACTCAATGTGAAATGCAAAGCAAATTTCAGCATCAGTATTTTAGTTCCCTTTTTCGCAATAAGTGAGGTTAAGTGGTGTTAGATATGTTTAGTCACTATATCTACAGTAACTGAAAAGAAGTAAGGACTTAACTTAACTCAAAATTGTAAGGAAAATTTTCCTCATTCATCAGTTATAACTCAACTTCAAGTGCTATTGCATGTCTTTTATTCCATCTCTATCTCTTACTGATTTTGTGGGAATTGTTAGTCCCAATTTAAATTTTCTTAGAAGTTCAATCATCAAAAGCTAATCTAACAGAAACCTAAAAGGGCCTGTTTATTCTTTTCCATTTGGTATATTTTTGTTTTCTGTTTTTTTGGTTCTTCTGGTCTTTGATGGTTTAGCTTTTAATGGTTTCTGATTCTTTTCTTGGAATTGAACTACAGTAATTATATGCTTCTTTTTGTTGTTGCCTACAGGTGCCACTGCCTGTGTTGAACTGAAGAGATTTATAGAAGGAATCACTTGGTGTGATAAGGGATTAGCTGTATCTTTTGAAGGAATCTTTAATTTTTAACCGTGGGTATAGTGGAAATATCCCATAATTTGACGTTTTAAGGGAGAAAATGCAAAGAAGGGTATTAATTACAATGGGAACTAATGTCATCTCATCCTTAAAGAGTGTGTGATTAAACTTTGGGAAGAGTCAATACCTCATGACTTATTAGTGATATACTCCTCTAAACCATTACTTAAGAACACGTCTCTGTAAGAATCAAACATCGTGGGAAATGAAAATTTTCAACCCCCCGTCAAATTTTGCATGCAGTTAGGCACTCAGGGGAGATGCACAAAAATGCCCTTTTTAAAGGTTGCAGCACTCATGTTGCTATGGTAACAACGACTGCTTGTTCGAGGCCTGGGGCCTCATTTTCTTACAAAAACGTCGCAAAAAAAGAGTGCACTTCTACCATACATAGTAACATCATTCATCTTCACATTGATTCATTTAATTTTCCCTGGGAGTGAATGTGAACACACCAATAGATTATTTATCTCGGTACAGTTTCGGTCATTTTTGTCGTCGGGTAAAACAGGGAAAACGTTTATCTGAATTTCTCCAAAAGTACACCGATTCTGGAACTGAAACTACCCACCTAGCTGGTTATAATATTCTAGTTTTTAAATGTGTAAAAATCTCTGCGGGCCTGCCTCTACTTTTTGTAGGGGCAATTCGTTAACGAAGCTCAAAAATCAGATATTGCATAATTTGGCGATGTTTACATCTAATGTTCTCAACAACAAATGTTTCAGACAAATGAAACATGCGAGGCCTTGAAAGAACGTTATCTTATGAGCAATATCCCGAAGAGAAATCTCGCCTCTGGTTATCATGTTTTAAAAAAAATTGATCAACCTTCATGGAGGACAACTCGACGTAACTACAAACATATGCCTCAAATCGTGTGCATATCATCAAGGTTCAGAGCGCTGCACCTTCTTTCATGGGAATTTGAACGATCCGAAGTCCTCTGAAGATACACTGTTATACCTGTATGTCATTTGAAACATGTTGAAGTCGGTTGATCTACACGAAACTATCCTCACACCGGTCATTTGTCATAAACATGTACGTTATCACGATGGCGTGACGCTGTATTTCTCCGTGAAGTTTCCATAGGTCGCTCCAAAGAAGACGAGAAATGGATATTTTTCATTTATGTCAGCAGTTTTCCACTTTTTGAAGTAAAAAAATCCAAAAAAAAAATAGAGAAAAGCAGGATTGAAAATTTTCATTTCCCAAGATGTATGAATCTTACAGAGACTTGTTCTTAATAGTCATACTATGCCACAACTGGTACATGAGTTTAGCTAAAATACTAATATTCACCCAGTGTATGTACGGTATGTGGATAGATAATCTCTCTAAAACAAGTCAGAAAAAGAAGCTTGGCAATGTCTGTACAATGTATTATGTTGATTTTATTTTATTTTTCTGCTATTGAGAGACTCAGAAACTTTTGTCGTGTTTTCCTATGGACAAATACAACTTTTAAAGACACATATCTGTGTTTTAGAGTCATTTCTTCCAGTTGCTGTAAAACGTTATAGTCTGAAGTTAAAGATACATAAATTTAAAAATCAAGAAAGTGCTTCCCAGTTTTTTGGAAATAACAGATTATATCTAGATATTTCATGTTAAAATTTGAGGTTGTACACAGAAGAAACCTTTTTATGATATGTAGATCGATTGACTGAATGTTGATCAAACAACTACCTTTCATGCAAGCCCTCCTAAGAGGCCATTTTACTGTTGTGTACTTAGTTGCCAAGCCTTTGATTTGGAGTGAGTGAGCATAATTACAAAGTAATTCGCATTTGAAAAGCAGCAATGTTGTATCATAACAAGGTCACCCTTAGCCACAGTCCTGTTCAAAGGCTTGGGAACCAAGCACATAACTGGTTTTTTCTACATTTTTAAACCTTAACATTGAAAAAAGATTGACAACAGTCATAGGATTTTGTTGTCATTAAGACTTCAGTCTGTGGAAGGAGTGGGAGATAAGTCCATGGAGGAAAAAGATAACAATATTTATGACCATGGTGTTCCAAGTTCAGGTGATGTCCAGAAAGTCATTGACCTCTATAGTTGGGGAGCCAAGCATGGAGAGGGTAACACTTATGGCAATCTTGGCAATGCTTATCACAGTCTGAGTGATTTCAAGAAAGCCATAGAGTACCACAACCTACATCTTAATATAGATAAAAAAGTAGGAGACAAGCCTGGGGAGGGTAAAGCTTATGGCAATCTTGGCAATGCTAATTACGGACTGGGTGATTTCAAAAAAGCCATAGAGTTCTACAACCTAAATCTTGAAATAGCTAAAGAAATAGGAGACAAGCATGGGGAGGGTAAAGCCTATGGCACTCTTGGCATTGCTTATCACAGTCTGGGTGACTTCAAAAAAGCCATAGAGTACCACAACCTACATCTTAAAAAAGCTAAAGAAGTAGGAAACAAGCATGGGGAGAGTAATGCTTATGGCAATCTTGGCATTGCTTATGACAGTCTGGGTGATTTCAAAAAAGCCATAGAATTCTACAATCTACATCTTGAAATAGCTAAAGAAATAGGAGACAAGCATGGGGAGGGTAAAACTTATGGAAATCTTGGCATTGCTTATGACAGACTGTGTGAGTTCAAAATAGCCATAGAGTGCCACAACCTAGATCTTAAAATAGCTATAGAAGTAGGAGACAAGCATCGAGGGGGTAGTGCTTATGGCAATCTTGGCATTGCTTATTACAATCTGGGTGATATCAAAAAAGCCATAGAGTACCACAACCTACATCTTAAAACAGTTAAAGAAGTAGGAAACAAGCATGGGGAGAGTACCGCTTATTGCAATCTAGGCAATGCTAATTACAGACTGGGTGATTTCAAAAAAGCCATAGAGTACCACAGCCTACATCTCAAAATGGATAAAAAAGTAGGAGACAAGCATGGGGAGGGTAAAGCTTATGGCAATCTTGGCAATGTTTATCACAGTCTGGGTGATTTCAAGAAAGCCATAGAGTATCACAACCTACATCTTGAAATAGCTAAAGAAATAGGAAACAAGCATGGAGAGGGTAACGCTTCTGGCAATCTCGGCATTGCTTATGACAGTCTGGGTGATTTCAAAAAAGCCATAGAGTACCACAACCTACATCTTAAAATAGCTAAAGAAGTAAGAGACAAGCATGGGGAGGGTAAAGCTTTTGGCAATCTTGGCATTGCTTATGGCAAACTGGGTGATTTCAAAAAAGCCATAGAGTACCACAACCTACATCTTAAAATAGCTAAAGAAGTAGGAGACAAGCATGGGGAGGGTAAAGCTTATTGCAATCTTGGCATTGCTTATCACAGTCTGGGTGATTTCAAGAAAGCCATAGAGTATTACAACCTAGATCTTAAAATAGCTAAAGAAGTAGGAGACAAGCATGGGGAGGGTAAAACTTATGGAAATCTTGGCATTGCTTATGACAGACTAGGTGAGATCAAAAAAGCCATAGAGTGCCACAACCTAGATCTTAAAATAGCTATAGAAGTAGGAGACAAGCATGGAGAGGGTGGTGCTTATGGAAATGTTGGCAATGTGTATCGAACTCAGGGAGATTTGATCAAGGCCAACAAGTCATTCAAGCTAATGCTCAAAATTGCCAAAGAGGTCGAAGACAAATCCTTGGAGGCAATGGCCCACTGTTCATTAGGACCCGTTTTTGAGTTGCAGGGTCGACTGCCAAAAGCTGTTGAATCTTACCGAGCTAGCATAACCTTATTTAATTCCTTGAGAATACTTCTAAAATCTAAAGATGAATGGAAAGTTAATTTTCGAAATCAGTATCAAATGGCGTATACGGGTTTGTGGAGAGTTCTCGTAAAACAAGGTAATATAGATGAAGCCTTACTTGCCGCTGATAAAGGACGAGCCCAAGCTCTCACCGACCTTATGGAATCCCGTTTTTGTGGTGGAACAAGTCAGTGCAAGGGAAGCGATGAAGATTTAGTAGTTTTAAAAAACGTTCCATCAAACACTGTCTTTCAGGCAATGGACAGAGCTGACGTCAATCTTTGGGTTGTGTCCGAAGGAAAACAAGTTCAGTTAAGACAAAGTAAACTCAATGGTTCTGTTTCAGAGAACAGTGGGGCTAGTCAGTCCTTTGAGTCGTTCATGCTCGGTGTCTATACACAACTTGGTGTTCGTTCTAATGTGAGATGTGAGAACCGATCTTTGGATGCTTTGAGCGAGGACCGTTCAAAAGTGGATCAGGAAACGAAAGAAGACAACCCTCAAGCTTCCATCCAACAAAACAAATGCTTGAGCACTTTGTATAATACCGTTATGAAGCCGGTGGCTGACTTGGTTCAAGGGGATGAGCTACTCATTATTCCCGATGGACCCCTGTGGCTCGCTCCTTACGCTGCATTCAAGGATGGTAATTCTAAATACCTGTGTGAATCGTTCAGAATCCGTCTCGCTCCATCGTTAACTAGTCTTAGACTCATTGCCGATTGCCCAGATGACTATCACAAAAGCAGTGGTGCGTTACTTGTAGGAGATCCGTGGGTAGCCGAGGTTACTAACAGCCAGGGAGAGAAACTCCTCGAGCAGCTTCCTTGTGCTAAAGAAGAGGTAGAAATGATCGGAAAAATTCTGAATATCACGCCAATCACTGGCAGAGAAGCCACGAAACGTGAGGTGTTGAAAAGACTCAGTTCCGTTTCCTTAGTTCACTTTGCGGCACACGGATGTATGGAAACTGGCGAAATTGCTCTTACACCTGACCCAGACCGAATATCTACTGTGCCAACGGAAGAGGATTACATTTTAACAATTGGAGATGTGATGAATGTTCAACTTCGCGCCAAACTAGTTGTACTTAGTTGCTGCTACAGTGGTCGGGGCGAGATCAAGGCTGAAGGTGTGGTTGGCATTGCGCGCGCTTTTATGGGGGCTGGTGCTCGGTCTGTTGTGGTTTCCCTGTGGGCGGTTGAAGACAAAGTTACTCTTGAGTTCATGAAATGCTTTTATCAACACCTTGCAGAAGGTAAACCTGCAAGCAAGTCACTGAACCTGGCTATGAAAAACCTCAGAGAATCAGACGAGTTCCGCGATATCAAATACTGGGCGCCCTTTTTACTGATTGGAGATGACGTTAGTCTTGATTTCATGGCATAGGAAAGATAAAATTTGAATTGAAAATCACATAAATGATTTTTTTTATCTCAGAAAGAATGGCGCAGTAACTTGGAAGGTTTAAATGTTTCTCTGTTTTGGCAATTTTTGGCTATTTTTTATTACTTTTACTTTTCTGTTAAATGGAACTTGAGACGTGTAACTTTAATTTGGCGAAAAAATAAAACAGACTATTTCATTTTATTTTGATCAATGGAATTGTCTATTTTGTCTTACCTTTACAAATTTAAATGCTTGCAAAGAGAATGAAATGCAACAATGCTTCTGTTATGAATGCCTACAGAGGTTGAAGGTGAATACGAGGTTTCCGTTTTCGCCAAAATGACACTCTGCTCTATTCATGTATTACAATCAGTTGTATGAAAAACAATTTAAAAGTTTTTTCTTGTACATAACCAGGACCTTGGCTACCGGGTTTTAATCACGTCTATACTCTAAGCTTTTGATAAGCAAAGAAACAGTTCATTGTTTGCAAAAGAGGGCGGAATTTTAATTTCAAAAATTTGATTTGCAAAATTTGCAGCAGTATGTTAATTAAAATTGGAAGACTTTTCTAGATCATAAGTTACTTTATTACAAATTGAGATTATCTTTACAAGAAAAATTGAGTATTTTTTTGTTATCCATTTTAATGCAATCTAATTGTCAGTTCCAAGATTGCCATTCTAAGCTTAATTTGAAGAAGTAAACATCAGGGATGATATGCTACAGGCCATATGTTAGAGACATTAGACCTACTTTTAGGGATGTAGCCAGCCTCTAGTCCTGTAAGCCTGGCCTATAATTGTTTTCCGCCTACTTAACTTTTATAATATGGCTCTTGCAAATGTTGAAACTAGAATTGAAATTTCTTACGGAAAAAGCCTACAACAAGTTAAAAAGCTGGCTACAACCTTGTTTTAATCAAGTGAGTTTGGTCAAAATTTGTCTGTTTTATCAAACACGTATCTGTTCGTTTTAAAGAACCACGACAGTGAGGTTAAAATTGTCCATGTAATCTAAACAAAAAACAAAACAAAAAAACAGCAAAGCAGAGTTCACTGTAACTGAAGTTTCCATAGATGTGACTTAACGTATGTGACAGAGAATTTGTTGTTTCTTGTAGGAAAATATTTACGCCCATAAATTAGAGAAGCAATTCAAATAAGCCATTGCCGACGGGAATTATTTTGGTAAAAGGTTAATGAAGAAATGCAAAATCTAGTCCCTAGTTGAAAAGGTTCAGGGCTTCAGGAGAAAACTTTCATTTTTTGAAAATTCCCTGTTCAAAATTCACCGTAGTATAATTTGAAGATGTCTGATAATATCTTTCTTAGATTTTAGGTATTAAGAGCGCGCTTTGTAATTGGAACCCGTTATGTAGTCAAAAGTTTAAGATATACTGTATCAAAACTGTTTTGGAAGAAAGAAATCAATATTACAATCAATATTAATTTTGCAGATTTTTATGACTACTTTTGGTATATGCTGGTATAAAATGTAATAGTTAACTTGCACATGATTGAATATGATGTAACGTAGGATTTTAAAAACAAGCTGGGATAGTTTTAACTAAAATGTGCTTTGTATAATGTCAGTGTATTTCGTGTGAAGTGTTTTAATGCTATTTTTATTTAAAGTTGTAGATAATTGTTCATTTTCCTTAGTTTAATTAACTCATAAACTCCTAAGTTCTGAGGACAAATTCTCCCAACTGATAAGAATGTGTTTCTTTGTTGCTCCCTTCCGAGAATTCTATGTAACATCACGTTTCTAGCTCATATAATTTATAATCAGTTTTGGGAGTAAATGGGTTCATTTTAGTGTCTCCTCTTAGCGCGTACTTCACTTAAGGCCTTGCACAATTTAAAGCAGTTTCCATTGTACTTATTTGGGTTACTTATTTGCGTAAGAGAAATAAACAGGGTATAAAATACAAAATCTGGGTTGATTTTTGTCGTCTCTCTCCATATCTTAAGGATGCAAGTGAGATGAAGAGGGAACAGATCCTTTGGGGACTGCAATACAAGTACTTGTTTTGACCCGCGCGCGCCAAGCTGACGATCTTTGCGGCTGACTGTGTACTAACATTCCATGTTTCAAGACCCCGCCAACTAACGAAGGCGCGTCGTCTCTTCGATTGTCATGTGTCTCTTCCACTGATTGTCCATATTGTTACGCGGTTTTGAACGGTGACGGACGTGTTCATACTGTTACATGTGTGCGGCTTTTTTACCTTTTTCTTACATACGTTTTTACACCGTTTCACATATGCGCATCGCTTTTTTCTCCTTCCTTTTTTTCATCGCACTTTTACTTTATTCCCATCTTTACTCGCACCTTTTTCATCGTCTTCAACTTTAATCTTCCGCGCGCGTCATTAGACGCGACTATCTCCTTGTGTGTTTCAGCTTTCAATCGTCTCAATCCTCGCGCAACGTCGGGCTTCTTTCAACTCATGTACCTCCTTACCCTACCCCCAGGAGTAAATGTTATCATGCCTGATTTGTCCACATTAGGATGGTGTCATTGCGAAAAAGCGGAGCACGAATCTTACGACTGAACCTTGCAAACCTTAAGAGCTGAACCTCGCAAACCTTAAGAACTCAACACTGCGAACATTTATGCTATTTTTTAATTAGAACCCAGCGTGAAACTGAATACTGTTTATCTTATCAGAGGGCGTGTTTACTGACACACGCATAGCTTTTGTGTACCAAAATTGAGTTTAAGCCTTCGAGAGAAGTTGTTGTCCACGAGTACGGATGGTTTTTTCTGACGAGCCAGAGCCTTGGAATCTTTTAAATCTAATTCTAGGAGGATATAGCCGATAAAAATCTTAACAGTCATCTCTAGTAAAATCTAAGTTTTCCTTTGGATTGATGCCCAGTCCACAGTGGTTAGGTGCTAGTGTTTGCTCTCCTTAGTCCTCTCGTTATCGTTGCAGTTATAAAGTGGAAGAGCTCCCCCCTTCCTCCTCCCCTCTCCCTTCAATAGCACTATACATCCCTCTGCTGCAACTTTTGCATCTAACCTCTCCCCACCCTGCTTGTACGCTCGCGTGTTCGCGCGATTTATGCAGTTTACTTGTTTTTACTTTGAAGTCGTATCTGTTCTTTGAGATAATTTCCTCTCCTCTGATTGGCCGATGTATTAACTGGCTTTGGTTTCATGACACTCAATCAAAAAGCAATACTGGTAATTCTATTACTTTCTCTCTTTGCGAACGACAGAGAAAATGCCTCTAACGATTTGTAAATAGCCTGTTCCCCATCGATCCGGTTAGGAAAGCACATGGCATGATATTCGTGTTTTCGTATCTCAAGCGAAATAGTTGCTAATTGTTATGTTTCCCTTAAACATACAAACGGGTTTAAGTCCTGATAATCCAATTCCGTCTAATTTTTATTACTGAGACTCATTACTTTAATTTTTAATTGCTTGCTCTTTTTGTCACGTACATGTTCACATGTAACTTATTCAGTGTTTACAATAAAAGGTGTGCTCCATTCAAAGGTTTTGCGCATCCTCAATCCAATTATTTACTTTGCTGAAGCAAATTGAAGAGCGCTTAACTTCAGGAGGCGCCATGAATATTCGTTTCAATCAGGAGACTCTCAGGCGTGAGTCGTCGTTTATTACTCTTGAAGTTACCAGATGAATGTGGATAGTCTTTGCAGGAGCGAATCAGAGCTCTAGCGATGAAACAATGAGTTGCTCCTAACCTAACCTGAACTGATTAACAACGATCTATACATTCAATATTTCACCCACTCTTATCATAAAGCAATAAAAAATATGTAAATCTTCGCCGTAATTAGAAATGAAAAGAAGTATATGGACAGTTGCACTGCTTGCAGTTATTCAGACAAAAATTCAACCAAACATGCTTAAGTAAATATGCTTATCAGCTTTAGATTGTTATTTTGATCAAAAACCAAATTCTCCAAAATGATATATAAGAAAACGTAAAGTAGCTTGAAAGGAGAATTGCTGTAGGGTGTTTCACGTCAAAGCGCCATGGTGGCGTAGACGTATTCATTTTACAGACCTATCAAAGCCGAAGTCAAATTGTTTAAAAGCAAATCTTCAACTCTTTGTTAGATTATTTGGATTTTAAATCTTCAAACAGGAAAGTCTAGAAATTTGCGTGCGAACTGTGTCATTTTCTACTGTGACGCTTGCGACGAAAGACGAAACTTCGAGTGGTGTCGCTAAGGCGTGTTTGCTAAGTGTCGCTGATGTCGGGACTACTTTACAGGTCGTAGTAAAACCACGAAAACCAAGATGACGGTTAACGGTGTTTATTCAGATCACGAAGACAAAGACGAAGACGATCACAAAGACGATCACGATCGTAAACTGAAATTACAAGAATATTATAACGAATACATTAATCTACTTGAATTGGTGCGAAAGGCATGAAAGAAACGCTTTACGTGCCTATATCGATAATGCGATTAAAATAACAACAATTAACGTAAATTAACATAAACAAATCATAAAAGGCTAAATTAAAACTACTCGAGATTCAAAGATCGGCTACACGATGAACATTTGCGGCTGATTAACAGCCCAAAGACTAAAATGTGGGCGTTGCTGTCTGAGCGTCTAGTTCTTTCAAATTACTCTTTTAATTTCAAGATAATTAATTGTACTATTGTACAACACAGTACAAATGTGCGTTATCGCCCAAGGTGAAAAACTAAACTTAAACACATTGAAATAAAACTAACAAAATTACTTACATATCGGTCCCGCTTGTGCCAAAGATTTAGAACGAAAGAACGAAGGTACTGCTATTCAAGGCGAAATCTAGCGAAACTCTGGCTTAAAGGGACGCTAACTTAGCTTTTATATGCGCGTGGTGACGCTAAAAGATCCGATTACAAACCAATAGGAAAAAGATAAACATTGTAACTACGATCGTAACTAGGCACACAAAGTAATTGATAATTGATAATTGATCTAATCAAAAAACTGTTCTTTTGTTCGATATCCTT